TGATTACCAAAAAAATCAAGAAGCTGAATATATCTTAAAAGAAAAGTCTAAGTAAATCTTTTTAAAAACAAAAACACTCGCATTTCCAAGGACGTTGAAAAGTATCCCCTCTTAAATAAACTAAACAATAAATAATCTAATTCCAAAATCCCTTGTGTCCCACGAACTATCCCAACGTTACCCGAAACTTAAAAAATCCATTACAAACTCCTTGCGATAAATCTTCGACAAGCAAAACGAGGCTAGCACGTTACCATAGACAAACTCAACGACAAAACTTTTGTTTCTTTTATAAAGTTTTGGCGGGAACTTTGTAATTCTTTAATCTTTGGTCGTGATCACATTGATTGATTCGTATTGTCTTTACGTAATTATGTAGGCTGGCAGCTTGTCAAACTTTTGCTTTATTAACGTAATTAATTTTGATTTGTTTTATAATCGTTTCGATGGGACGGTTGATAAGTTAATTTATTGGCTATTGCGTTGCGCATTTATCAAAAGTCTTGATGAAGCAATGGTGTAATTTCTCTTTCGTTCTTGAATAGTTTGAAGCTGGAATTTAGTCCAAGTGAAAGTCAGTCTTTTGTTTCTTAATTTTTTATCCTAAAGTTTTTTTATAAAAAGAGACACATAGATTATCCTTGATTAGACCTTCGAGACTCCTAGTTAGACCCTTTATGAAACTTTCAAGCTAATGATTACCTGTGACAGGATCGTGTGTACTTGTACGTCTCTACGTCCACTGGCTTTACGTGCCCATCCAATGGAAGAATGGATAAATGTTACCGCATACATACACTACATATATTATTTTTATGTATTTGTAGCCGGTTACACTTACGCAGGCTGCTGAACGTTTCCTAAAGAATAAAATATTATTTTGTTTTAGTATTCGAATCAATACTTAAAAATAATGTCAATCACCCTTCCCCTCTTTCCCTAATTTCCCCAATCCCTGAATCTCTAACAATCTTTAAATTTCTAATCCTCAAAAGGCCGGTAATGCACTTGTCAAGCCTCTGGTGTTCCAGATGTCCATGGGCGACGCCGATTTTTAACCATCAGGTGATCCGTCTGCTCGTTTACCGGCTTATACCATAAAAAAACCACATTATTATGTGCTTACGAGTTAACATTATGCATTTAATACAGTTTAGGAAGATTAGGCTATACGTAGAGATCACATCTAGGCAAACGTACGTAACGTAAGTCTCCGTAGGCTTCCAATTTTAAACTTACCGATGAACCCTCAATGAGCCCAACTTTACCCAAACCAAGAGAACCTGAGACTAATTTCTAAGTTTACTAAATTTCTCAGTCGTTCTTACGATCATTCCTAGAGCAGACAAAATTAAAAAACTAAGTTACCATTCTCCAGTATCAACATCAATCTCAAGAGTTTATAGTAAATAGAAAAAAATATATAAATGATGATGCACACAATATCGTACAACGTAACATACTATATAGTGGAGCAGTAATCGTTGGATCGGTGTGAGGTCACTCGTGGCTACGATCTCGTCCATACAGAGCACAGATGCAATCTGCACTCACAAGTAACTTGCAGAAGGTTCATTGTTAATTGCATTTGTACTTTTTTTATAAATAACCACTAATATTTTGTCTTTTTAACCGACTTCAAAAAGAAAAATAAAGGAGGTTCTCAATTTGACCTGTATTTATGTATGTTTGCGCGCGATTGGCTGAATTTGATGCGATGCGAATTGATACGGTTGTCCGAAAATTGTTTCTTCACTTAGAAGGTTTTAGTATATTAATTAACCGACTTTAAATAAAAGGGGGGGTTGAGGTTTGTTTTTAAACGCAGCTTGTAAAAGAATTATTAACCTTTTTTCAAAGTAGGTGTAGATATTGAATTTGTACCTAGTGGTATATGGTTTAGCCATCAGACCACCACAGATAGGATCCAATGGGATTGAGGCCGATTCGGAGCCGCGGAGAACTTAACGGGTTACCGGGGCTCCCGCTCGAAGTGCAAGAGTAGGAACGGGCGGCCTCAGCCAGGTGGCAGAAGTCATTAGATCATTTTCCCTCCTTAAAAATAAAAGTGGTTTATGGTTTCATCTATTTTTCATTATTCTAAATTACAATAGCTAAATCTTATATTCTGCTTTTCCAATAATTTTGGAGTCAAGACTAGTATCTTGAATTGAAAAGTGTGATTGGTATCACACCTTTGATTTCGGTTTAAAGAAATTTATTTCTCATAAGAACATACAGTCCACTTATAATGAGATACAAAGTAATAAACAAATATAGTAGGTACAATACAAATTTCCTCCAAAGTATTAGCAGTTATATATGATTTTACAACGTAATCCCCACTTTTCACCAGTAAAGCTTTATGTCCAATATGATAAGGGGTGACGCTATTATCATATCTATATCGGCCACAATTTCAGACTGCATTCTATTATCAACATAACCGAAAACATTTTGCCCAACTTAACTCGTCAGTTGCATATGAGACCGTCCGAGTCAGACACTCAGACCATCCCTAAACCCTTACCTCACTAGTCCCTCTTGTCCACAAAGGAGATTCTTAACTACATTTGTATTAGTTAACCTTCTGCCTAACCTACTGTGTAACAGTTAGTTGGCAAAACATCAAAGTGTAGCCGACGATTGAGCGCGTCCATTCCGTCAGGTGTTGCGATAACCGATCTTGTTTGATGCACTCGCCTTCACCTCGTCCGATTATGAACTGATTACTGATTGCATACAAACATTTACACTTGCTATTGTATACTATTTTTATGAACAATGAACTTTAGCCAGCACCTTCGGCCACCCTTCCCATGAGATAAAGAGTGTCCTATGTGTTATTTCACCATTATCTACCCCTGTTCTAAATTTTATGTCAATCCCTTCAGCCTTTTTTACATAACAAACAAACATACAAACTTCGCATTTAAAATATTAGTAGGATAAAATAATGTACAAAGAAAGTTTTATTACATTTCGAAGTGTGGGAGAGCCATGCTTCGGCACGAATGGGCCGGCTCGACCGGAGTGATACGCTTGCGTTGTATTTCGTCATGTGGGTGAGGTTACTGGAGGCCCCATTACCCTCCCTTTCCCCAATCTCCCCAATTCCTGAATCCCCTACGATCCTCAAACTCCTAATCCTCAAAAGGCCGGTAACGCACTTGTAACGCCTTGGTGTTTCGGGTGTCCATGGGCGGCGCCGATTGCTTACTATAGGTGATCCATCTGCTCGTGTACCGTACCGTGTGTAGAAAAAAAATGTAATGAAATTTTTGTTATATGACAATAATCGGTGCCTGTCCTTCTCAAATATAGAGCAAAAAGGTAATCTAGTGTCACCGTGTTAGAATTTAATTTATCTCTTCTTTGCAGTCATCTAGATTCAGGGTTTCCAGTAGACTATTTCTCGTAATACTTAACTAAAAAATTTTATTTTATCAATAACACCGTGGAGTCTCAAATCGCACTCTCTCTGAAACATCAGGCTCATAACTTAACTGCTGAAAAGCGAGTGTTGTATTGTATATTTGCGGCCTACTTCTTCGGAGATTAGAAGGTTTAATGTTATGAATGTAATTTAAAGAAATAAGCGAGATGGACACAATGATAAACTCATTCATCAGATGTACTTGCTCATAATTGCTAGTTACTGCTGTCTAAACGTGCTGTAACAAAACACTAGAATATGAATTACAATTACGTCGTAAATCTTCATTATAATGTAGCCACTGACATATAACTGTTTCTCACGTACTTAGTATTTTGCAAGCAAAAATGTTAACCGACTCCAATAAAAAGAGGAGATGCTCAATGATTCTCAATTCTCGTTACTTAAGTGGCGCTAGTGTAGCTTTTCGTTTATTGCCCAATATAATATTTGTTAATCTCAAGTCATTGATCAAAAAATGCTGATTGGACAAATAGGACCTGCTTTCTTTTGCATTGAGATGTGCAACGAAATCCTTCAGGAATCCTACAGTTTTATGGAAAATCCTATTATGCTATTTAATCTGCAATGTTTCTGTGCCAATCCACTTTATCCTAAAACTACGATTTACCACTAAGATGCCAACAGAAGCATCCTCTATAGTTACTGTGGTTTTATCCCCAACTCCCGAAATCACTCGTCAAGCGTGAAAATGGGTGGGAAATGAGAAATCTTCCTCTGAAACTAGAGATATTGTTTAACAATATGATGTAGGATAAGTAGCAAATACGACACATACCTGCTTACTACCTTCTTCTTTCAGCTATCGGTTCTTTTTATCAGGTAACTCATTCACAAACTTACTCCAAAAACATTAAACCGTGGAGCAAATAAGAAAACAAATACACGATACTCATTTATCTCAATAATCGGTACATGTAAACTAGATGTCAGTGTGTGTTAGTTAAAATTATAATGGCTAAAAATAAACGCACTCCCGTTACTCGTTCGCTCTCGGAGTAAACAATTAATAAACTAAGTGTTATGAGGAGATAAACGAATTATTAGAGTAATTGTGAATATTTGAGGGCGCCATCTTGTTTTTTAGCTTTTTATTTGGCGCGCTTTTTTGTAATGAACGAATGGAATGAATGAAGATAGATTAAAAACGTAGTAGTATAGAAGAGGACAGATGACAACGACTTTTAGCTACTGAAAACTGATATCAATTTAGGATTAAGAAATATTGAATAAGACAATATTGAAATGTCACCAGGGAGGACTGACACTCATCAGTGTACATACCTACATTATTATATTTTTTTATTATTGTTCTCAAAAAGGAATTTCTCTTATTTATACCTGTTTTGAGTAGATAGATATCAAATTCTGCTTATACACATATAATTGTGTTTTGTCAGATATAACGAATGTTTATCATAGATAACAAAAATACGCTACTGTTATTAAACAATCTGCATAAAAGATAGATAATTATTTTTATGTTTTCAGTCACGATATGAATAAATAATTACAATTTTTATAACGATATTATTTTATACAGGTACACAATATCATCTGGAGGCCGCGACAGGTTGATACAAAGAGTTTCGTGTTCATTCCTTGCTAACCATAGACTAACATTAGTTTGATTTGCAGTGGGAATTGGTGCTAATTTAACCTAACTAATATTTACGCCAATTATTAAGACTATAGGTAACAAAAGATCGTTTTGTTTCTATATTTAGTACAATGTGTGTAATTATTAAAGCCTTAATTTACTGTTGCTATAAATGAGAAAAAAATACACGTTGATTGGAGGACTACACTCAAATACCAATAAAAATACGAGGCAGTTAAATATATTTTGCCGTTTTATTCATTTTTTAACGATCAAATATCAACTAGTATGTACATACTCAAAACTTACTAGCAAAATGTTTTTTTTTAATTTGTTCGTGCTTTTAACCCTTATTTTAATTAAACTTTCACCATACTGGCTCTGAACTTTGACGTTCCAACTTTTTAATTTTGGCGCGGAACTGTCAAACTAAAAAAATGACGTCAATCGTCCGTGTCTATTAAGCGGTCGTAAAATCTATGTCCGTCCGTTTGTGTTCAAACTATCTGGGTTACTAGCTACAACTGCTACAAGTATTACACCGCTTTAGTTCAAGGCTGAAAGTTTTTCATACAGTTGGCACGGCCACCAAGCATGTTTACTACGAACTTTTAACAACTATGAAAAAAGGTTATAGTTCCAAGAATTTCGTGTGTGAAGAGTATGGAATGCTATTTCTCTTTGTGTCTTATTTTTTGTGCCGATACTTCCTTCCTTGACTTTTTAATTAGATTGTTTTTTTTTTATTGAACCTTCAAACCTTCAAGAAAAAGCTCTAAGGGCCAGGAAACCACTTGTAACTCCATTTGTGTTACAGGTGTCCATAGACAGCACTTATTGGCTTATCGCTTACCAGCAGGCCGCGACCACTCGTTTGTGATTTTGCTCGCGACGTGAATCAATAAAATCAAACTAACGAGAACCATTTCTCCTTTTACAATATTAGTAAAGATACACCCCTACCGAGGAGTACAAAAGTTGTGATATTTAACATTGAGATAATATAAATAGAGATCTATTTATAACCATTAATGAGATTCCATGCAACAGCTGACGTATCCACGCGTCTTCGTCTTAGTAAAAATTGATAGCACGTGTTGTGGTTTCTACACCGTACTACTGCACCGTTTGCTAGTGATCATATAACAGTAAGTTTTGGTGAAATTATTTCTATAAATGTTAGATAAGGCTATAAGTAATCTTTGAATCGAAATAAATATCTCTAAAAAGCATTAAAGTTTTTTTTATTTAGTCTCTTATGTACACAATTTGATTATGGAACATAAGGCGAACTTAATGCCATATGGCATTCTCTACCAGTCAACCTTACGGTTTAAGTAGACAATCTGCGAAAAATAAGGTACGTAGAATAAACTAACAGCAAAGAGAGAGAGAGAAAAGAATAATAAAATAAAGTTGTGAGTTTTGCAATGCTTTGCTTTCTACATGTTCACCGTTTTCACAATAAGATCCCGTGAAATTATTTCTGTCGCCATAAGTTACACCAGCAGCTGTAGCCAAATGCGATTCAGCGCTTGTCTACTTGTAGATTATAAAACCAAATTATATGGAATTGACGTAAATTTTGACACTTGTCAGTGTCATCCTCGTACATTTTGATTTCTACTTTCTCTGTAGACAAGCGCTAAAGTGGCGTTTGGCTAAAGGCACTGGTAACGTAGTAATTAGTACTAAGATCAGGACGTTACTGTTCTTGCATCAAAAGAAATGTCTCAAAATTGCATTAAAGTTATGAATTTTGACCGATGTAATGTTTCGCAACACCCTCCACTTTATTAGTTACTAGCTTTTACCTGCTTATTTTTGCTTTTGCCTTTTACTAGATTATTCCAGCATTTAAACTGTCAAACACCAAACGGTCACCGGTGACCGCAACCTATTGTTCTACAATTGTGTCTGCAAAACCGGTACTCGACGAATTAATCGGAATATAAAGCATTTAATTCTATCACCTATGTCAGCCTGTCGTATGTTGTCTGTATACCTCATTTCATCAAAGTCCGTTCAGTAGTTTCAGCATGATTGACGGACTAACAATCAAAACAAAGAAACTTTCACATTCATAATATTAAGTGTGATTACTTTACAGCTTAATCATGTTATTATTTGACGAGGAACTCGACTAGTTTCAAGCCATACTAGAGGCTCATATTTCTTATACTAGTTCGGTGTCAAATAATTACGTGAGTGAGCCGAAAAATCAATACAAAGTATAAAACAAAGTCGCTTTCGCTGTATGTCCGTATGTATGCTTAGATCTTTAAAACTACGCAATGGATTTTGATGCGGTTTTTTTTTAATAGATAGAGTGATTCTTAAGGAAGGTTTGTATGTATAATACATGCATATTGCACCCGTGCGAAGCCGGGGCGGGTCGCTAGTGTAATAATAAATTTATAGTATATATCACGAAAGTTACAATATAAACCTTCGGCTTTTAACGAAAATTCACTTTTGGAGTACCTCTTACTTTTTGGAATAATAGATTCAAATAATGTCTGGTTACCCATCCACGAACACAACGCAACAAACGAAGCTTGGCCCAAACGATTGACGCACCACAACTGTTGCTCAATATGTCTTTGTGATCCACAAAAATATTCATACGCTTTGGACCAACCCCCTGACGACAGCACCTACTGTATCATTTGTTTAACATTGTAAGACCCATGATAAAGCTATGCTATCCTTTTTCTGGATGACTAGAAATTGTTACAATCTCAAACCTACAGTCTCAGTGTGTTACAGAATTTTTCAATACAAGAGGTCGAATTTTAACTCGTGTTGTTTGGAAAGGAGCTTTTGTCATAATTCTATCTCTAGTTTTGCTAAATCTACTAAAATCTAGGCTATTGAGACTGGCCGTATAGTCTGTATCCAAGCTTGCTCAATCATCCACGCATGCCATAAAATTGTGAGAACGAAGAGAAGCAAATCAATTCATGCTACAAAATATCTTCGGTCGGAAAGCGCGCGTAAAACTAGGTCGGTACCGCGTCACTGTGACGTCATGCCGTGACGTCATAGCCCCTCCCCCTGCCACGCCTCGTACGTACTTGCGTAGTTACGGTTTGTGTGTGTGAGTTGGTTTGTGTCGGTGTGAGTAAGGAAGTGTTAGGGATTCTAGAAAATTCTATTTTTAAATCCTGAATTTGTGATGTCTTTGTTTATTACGATGATGTTCTGTTTGTGCTTCTGGAGCTTCTATTGTAAGTAATTATATGACATTAACTTTTTACAGGATTCGATTTTAAATAAAAATTAGTTAAATTGTAACAGAAGCTCATTCCAAGGGTTTAAAGTTTTATAAAAATTCTCAACAGCCTCGAAACGCCATGATCAGCTGATACGACTGCCAAACAAAAGCTCTATCCTACAATCACCAAAACAAGCAAAATATTATTCATTCAATCGATTGTATACCTACGTACGTCCTACCTATAGCCCCACCCTACTACAATAAGGTTTCAAACAAATTGTCAAAAATTTACTGAAATAGAAAGCCATGCTTTGGCACGAATTTGACTCGACCAGATTGATACCACGCCCTCAAGGAAAACCGACGTGAAACAAAGCTTTCGTTGTGTCTCACTCTCAGCGTGTGAGTGAGGTTACCGGAGCGCGGAGGTCCAATTACCCTATCCCTCCCCCACCCCAATCCCTTTTTTTTAAGGGGGAAAAATCATCGAATGACTGCTCCCGCCTGGGTGAGGCGGGAGGGAGTGTCAGACTCTTACTGACTAAAAACCACCCCGTTCCTTCTCCTGCTCGTCGAGTCGGAGCCCCGGTTACCCATTAGGTTCTCCGCGACACCCCAATCCCTGAATCCCCCACAACCCTCAAATTCATAATCCCCAAATGCCAGTAACGCACTTGTAACGCCTTTGGATGTCCATGGGCGGCGCCGATTGCTTACTATCAAGTGATCCCATAAAAAAGTATTTATTCACCCGTCTTCTGTCCATAATCACTTCTCGGTCCCTATTCGCCTCTATTTTCAAAACAATCACAAAGCAATACATCAACTAGGTTATTCTGTAAGATATCATTTTGAACTTTCAAAGTGAGTTCGATCGCATTTTTGCCTGTAATTGGTCCTGGTAATTCTCACAACCAATGACATGCGGACGGACAGCGAATTTACTTCAATCTTTCGAATTGAGACTAAGGACTCAGAGAAGCGATTTTTTCCCGCTCCTTCTACAATCGGTTGGCGGGCTATCGCAATGGGACGACCGCTCTGGAACTCAACTGATTGTTTAACTGCTCGTCTTGCAATACCGCTTTTTTGCTTGCTTTTTTGTTGCGGGACCGCTGAAAATGCAGTCTCGTGAGTTTTGAAAGTTCCACCACCATTCCGCCAGCTCGGCGTGCGCGGGAGAAAATCGCACCTTGAGACCTTAGCCTGAAAGTTACAAAATAGTCTAGCTTATCTGATTTTTTTTGTAAATGCCCTATGTATACCTAATTCTTAGGGTATCAAAGTTCCTTTTCAAGTAAGATGAAGGTTGTACCAACAAATGGATTGACGTAGTATCGCTAGCCAATATTGTCGGCCCATGCTAGTCTCGAGGTAAGGCAAAACAAACTTACAAACAGCTGATTCATTGCAATGTTTGGATAGAAAGAAACAGTTGTGTAGGGCGGTGGATTGAAGACTTAAGTATTTTTAACCGACTTCAAAAAAAGGAGGTACTCTGTTTGACCTGTATGTATTATAAGTTTATGCGAGATTATCTCACAATTAGCTGACCCAAATTTGATGCGGTTCTCAGAAGTGTTTTTAACACTTAGGAGCGGAGGAGAAGTTTTAGTATATTAATTATCTAACCAAAAACTTCAATGAAGGGGTTGAAGTCGATTTTGTTGAATGTAGCTTCCAGTGATTTGAATTTTACTGCCCGAACAGAACCAGGCCAGAGCATACGGCACGTCGCGTTCTGCGCGCGCCT